CTCGGAGATTTGACGAAATCAGGGCTGGAACCATTTCAAACAGCGGCGCGATAACGAAGCGGAGGATCAAGGGGATGGAAAGGGAGAGGAAAAGGAGAAAAGGCACTGTTTGCTAAGGGGCGAAATATTCGAGCTAAAAAATGTCGAAATTGTTGGGGTATCGAATCCTCGGTGATACAGCGAGCGATGGCTCATTTGAAATTCCGATAGGACCATTACTTTGCGACCCGTATTCCCCTGGGACACGTTTGCAAGTAAAAGAGAAGCTCCCTAGTCGTTGTATCCGTGTAAGGATTGCACGACCGTTTATTTTCTTAACAGAGACGTTTATGAACGTCCTCGGTTTGGTTTTCTGCGCGATATCGCGAACGATTCGCAGGTATAGCAACAGGTCGATATCGCGAGAGTTTGTTGTGGGAATGACTAATTACGCGGGGCTGAGTCGGGAAGTGGACGACCGTTTGCAAAATTAGACCCTTTAACTCGCTGGGTCTGCAAGCCTTTTTTACTTCCCAGAGAAGGATTAATTAATTACCGCTTTGTTCTTTAATCTGAACTCTGGTCGACTGCTTTGTCGCAAATAAGTCTGGAGAGGTCCCTTGATACTTGGTATTACGAGATATTAATAGGTACACTGTATACAGTGATAAATAAAATAGATGATATTTAAAAAATATGTAACAGATTTTCAAGTAGATATGTGAGAAGCAATATCGTTTCCATCGGTGATCGAAATGTGTTATTCTCTATTTAACACTAGGTTTACGAACGCTATCTGTACACCTATTTCTAAGGACACCTGTCAAATTGACAGGTAAAGGAAACCACGTGCCTTTCTTTTTAACGATTAGTTTAATTTAAAAACAATTATATATTATATTATTGGTCTTAATATAAGTTAACTAAATCTGTTACCATCGTATAATTGGAGCAAACCTTCCGTCAAATTGACGGATTCCGTAAATCTTGTGTTAATATATTTCAACTTTTGGAAACTTGACCTACTTTAAGCTTCGAACATCTCCGGTGGAAAAAGGTCTCTGATGTCCGAGATCGTTACTACACCTGATTTTATGCCCTTCTCAATTAAATTATCATCACGAGTCACAGATTTCGCGAATTTTTCACGGTATTTAAATTCAACTTGGCTCTCGAAAACTTGAGACTTGAAAAAGGAAAGGAGAAACTGGAGCGGACACATTCGTCTTCATATAATTAACCAATTAAATACTCGTCTTAAATCGATTAGTAACCCCTAGGGAGAAAAGGCAATAAAGATCAGTGAGTTTACAGATATATAACTTTCGGGTAGCTACATCAACTACTCCCACTTGTTTAATTAGAGCACTCAAAAACTCTCGTTATTTTTCCTTTGCGGTTCTATATTCGTCAAAATTCGCGATTGGTATGAAACATTATTTTTGGAATATTTATCGTAATACGGTGTTCTGTGTTCCTTCTTTGGCTAACGCGAGGTGTGACATTTTTTCCAGACGGTTACAATTGGTCCCAAGGGATTGCTACGAGTTATTACTTTGTCACGCGAGTCGCAAATGACACCAATTTCTTTTTTGCAGTTCTATATTCGTCAAAATTTCGCGATTGTTATGGAACATTATTTTTGGAATATTTATCGTAATACCGTATTCTATGTTCCTTCTTTGGCTAACGCGAGATGTGACATTTTTTCCAGACGGTTACAATTGGTCCCAAGGGATTGCTACGAGTTATCACTTTGTCACGCGAGTCGCAAATGACACCAATTTTTCTTTTGCAATTCTATATTCGTCAAAATTTCGCGATTGTTATGAAACATTATTTTTGGAATATTTATCGTAATACCGTGTTCTATGTTCCTTCTTTGGCTAACGCGAGATGTGACATTTTTTCCAGACGGTTACAATTGGTCCCAAGGGATTGCTACGAGTTACCACTTTGTCGCGCGAGTCGCAAATGACACCAATTTTTCTTTTGCAGTTCTATATTCGTCAAAATTTCGCGATTGTTATGGAACATTATTTTTGGAATATTTATCGTAATACCGTGTTCTGTGTTCCTTCTTTGGCTAACGCGAGGTGTGACATTTTTTCCAGACGGTTACAATTGGTCCCAAGGGATTGCTACGAGTTATCACTTTGTCACGCGAGTCGCAAATGACACCAATTTTTCTTTTGCAATTCTATATTCGTCAAAATTTCGCGATTGTTATGAAACATTATTTTTGGAATATTTATCGTAATACCGTGTTCTATGTTCCTTCTTTGGCTAACGCGAGATGTGACATTTTTTCCAGACGGTTACAATTGGTCCCAAGGGATTGCTACGAGTTACCACTTTGTCACGCGAGTCGCAAATGACACCAATTTTTCTTTTGCAATTCTATATTCGTCAAAATTTCGCGATTGTTATGAAACATTATTTTTGGAATATTTATCGTAATACCGTGTTCTATGTTCCTTCTTTGGCTAACGCGAGATGTGACATTTTTTCCAGACGGTTACAATTGGTCCCAAGGGATTGCTACGAGTTACCACTTTGTCGCGCGAGTCGCAAATGACACCAATTTTTCTTTTGCAGTTCTATATTCGTCAAAATTTCGCGATTGTTATGGAACATTATTTTTGGAATATTTATCGTAATACCGTGTTCTGTGTTCCTTCTTTGGCTAACGCGAGGTGTGACATTTTTTCCAGACGGTTACAATTGGTCCCAAGGGATTGCTACGAGTTATTACTTTGTCACGCGAGTCGCAAATGACACCAATTTCTTTTTTGCAGTTCTATATTCGTCAAAATTTCGCGATTGTTATGGAACATTATTTTTGGAATATTTATCGTAATACCGTATTCTATGTTCCTTCTTTGGCTAACGCGAGATGTGACATTTTTTCCAGACGGTTACAATTGGTCCCAAGGGATTGCTACGAGTTATCACTTTGTCACGCGAGTCGCAAATGACACCAATTTTTCTTTTGCAATTCTATATTCGTCAAAATTTCGCGATTGTTATGAAACATTATTTTTGGAATATTTATCGTAATACCGTGTTCTATGTTCCTTCTTTGGCTAACGCGAGATGTGACATTTTTTCCAGACGGTTACAATTGGTCCCAAGGGATTGCTACGAGTTACCACTTTGTCGCGCGAGTCGCAAATGACACCAATTTTTCTTTTGCAGTTCTATATTCGTCAAAATTTCGCGATTGTTATGGAACATTATTTTTGGAATATTTATCGTAATACCGTGTTCTGTGTTCCTTCTTTGGCTAACGCGAGGTGTGACATTTTTTCCAGACGGTTACAATTGGTCCTAAGGGATTGCTACGAGTTATCACTTTGTCACGCGAGTCGCAAATGACACCAATTTTTCTTTTGCAATTCTATATTCGTCAAAATTTCGCGATTGTTATGGAACATTATTTTTGGAATATTTATCGTAATACCGTGTTCTATGTTCCTTCTTTGGCTAACACGAGGTGTGACATTTTTTCCAGACGGTTACAATTGGTCCCAAGGGATTGCTACGAGTTACCACTTTGTCGCGCGAGTCGCAAATGATACTAATTTTTCCACTATCGTGCATGGACGACCGCAAATAGCAGCGGTGCATCCGCCACTTTGTCTCATCCACCGTGTTGGAATATTTCTGCAACGCGTTGCGAAAATTCCCGCGATGGTTAATTTTCGTTTCTGCTTCCCGTGCACTCTGATCTCGCGAAAAAACGCGACCCAAGGAAGAGCTACGAATTTTGCACGCGTTTCGAGTATTCTCCATTCGGGTCCTCCCGATGGGGAATTTCGCGAAAAATATTACATCGATCCGTTTAATTGGACGAAACGAGTTTACTCGCTTTTCGTGAAATGTCCAACTGCAGTCGATGTTTGCCCTTCGCTTTCGTCGAAACGTTTCGGAACTTAAATAAAATGGAAATTCCGACCACGATTACGAGAATTGCTCGCGGATTTTATTATAAACGCTTCTTCCCTCTATGTCCAGGATTCAGACGTAAAATTAATTTTCGTGTCGCAGCTAATTTGAACAAATGAATACGATTAATTTTAAGGATTTAAGATTCGCGAAATTAAATAATTCTTTGGACAGTTGTAATTAAATAGATTGATAATTGGACGAATTTTTTAAATGGCATTTTCGTGTCATATTTAGGTAAGAAATTTTAATCTTCAATGTCGATATTCGATAGAGTAATAAACTTTAATACCGTGCTAGACCCAAAATTACTATAACTAGCAGCAGGCTCTGTTTATGACAAAATGACAAGGTTGATGTCACCAACATCGCGTGTAATTGTAATATTAACGGCGAGCAAAAGGGGTAAAATCGTTGATTAATTTTCGGTGTAATTTAATTCGTCGATTACCATTTACTATCAATTTATCAAATTCTATTTAATATTTCAAAAAATTAACAAGCTTCCATTTCTTCGTGAACAATTCTCGGTAATAACAAAAATAAGACCACATTGTAGCGCAATATATCATACGCAACAGATAGCAATTAAAACCACATAAAATAAATAAATCCTTAATTAAAATCAACCTTAACATTTAATTTAAAAATATTTCAAAATAAAATAAATATTTCTCCGATAATTTCCAAGACAAAAATATTGACGAAACTAGTCGTCTGAATTAACTTATTAATTTTAACACGAACTTGCTATACTTTATCCTAGGAAAATGACACTACATCCTCCGAAGCAGCAACGCTTGGGAAAATCCGAATACACGTAGGAAAATAACGAAAGACCCGAAGCCACGGAGAGGTAGAATTTCTAACCAGAGATGCAACTTACGAAGCAACAATATGATCCGGATAACACGAAGCAGCCGGTACAACCCCAAATCAGGGACCAACAGACACGAAGTTTGGCAAACAACCGGAGACGCGATCATGCAACGAGAACCCGATGGTCCCAATCGAGCAACAAGCCAAGAACGTCGTTAGACGCTGCAAGCGCGTAGAATCGTGGAGAAACTTACAGTCTCCCACGGGATACGAAGTGGGTAGTTGTGCTTGACCTTGGCCTCCGTGAATGGGATGAACTTCGTGATAAGCCGCCCTCGCCTCCTGATAGCCGTTCTGCCTCTGTCCCCGATAGTTCTGAACAGTGTACGCCCCGGAGAAGATCCTCGTGTACCTGAGGTAGCATCCGCTCGGTATCTGCCACTGAAAATCGAATTAGGACACGCGAGTCGTGATTCCACGCTCATCTCGCCGTTTCCACGAAAATTGCTACTGCGAAGAAGTCGCGCGCACTCACCCCGTAAGCGCCGGATGGTATCGGCTGGGGTGGTCTTCCGGGACACATCAGCATCCTTCTTCTGTAGTACCGCGGCTAAATGGCGAAACAAGTGTAAGCACCGGATTTAGATTGGATTCCCTTGATTGCGTCGTTTGGACCGCTTTGATTTAAGGGTGCCATGCTATCTTAACGCGAGAGGACGTAATCGCGGCGCTGCTCGTCATTTTGATTTAGGACGATGGACGAGTAAGGGTGAGAGAATGAGCGATGCCCGATGGCGGTGATGATGATGATGGCAGTTGCAGATTCAGTGACGATTTCGCGAAACACACGGTCTTTCGGGAATAGCTTTGGAATTATGTATATATGGGTTTAGTGGACTGTTAGGGTGAGGTGTGCTTTTGCTTACGTGAAATGTTTTGTTACGGTCTTTGTCGAACGAGTATCGTTGTAGGTTTCTTTATAGTATAGTATATATTACTTTATAGTATCTTTGTAGACGAGATCGAATTACAGTTTCGCTGGGAAATTTTGTTGCTACGTATATTGTCAAGGGAATAATTCGAGTGGATATTGGAATATATAATTTAGTTGTCCTCGGTAATTTTTATTTAGATATTTGCATATTATTGGAAATTAATTTTTGCGTTGGTATAATATACAAGTACTTCTGCAAAATTTCGGTTAGTATAATAAACGAATCGTTTCGATCATTCGCGATTATCGATATCCCATTTCCGACAATTTCCCAACGATTATTCAAACCGTTAATGAAAGTCCGCGGCAAGTTAGGAATAATTATAATTTAGACGCGTTATTTAATTAAATACAGGATATTTGACCTAATTCATACGTGACATACGGTTTAAATCACGCGAATAATAGCCAGCTCCGTGTGTTACTGAAACGTCATCTCAATTATTAACTTGTTATTATTATTAGTTTGGAGTAGTCATGCAACCGTAATTATAACCTACAGAGGGAGCACTTGTGTACGTGTGGTTTAAGTATCATAACGCGTTAATTGCACCTAAACTCGTTAAGGCGGCTAAATAGGAGAAAAAGGGAAGAAAAGTGGAAAAGAAGGAAAAATTCGCACACGTAAGAAGGTAGACGCCAGTCAACGGTAAATCTCGACGCTAATTACCGTCATCTGGCGACGAAAGGATTAACACGATTTACCAATTTGATGATACGCCAATTATGCCAATAACGGCACGGTTATTATGCATGCAGATGATCTGGAGTTTAATTAATAGGTATTCGAATAATCGACAGGTGGGTTAATTGATTTCTAATTAACGGGGATGCTGCTGCATTAATAAAACGATCTCACCGGTGTCGACCGATTAAATCGCAAAATCAATTGTCCGCTTTCCCTCTTCCGGAATACTAGCGCTTCCTAGACGGAGGAAAAATTAATTCCACGACGGACATAGGTAAAATGGAAGCACGGAAAATGGGACACTCGACATAAATTGTTATTTAAGCAAACTGTCACACGAAATAACTAATTTTTCCCAAAATATAAAATACAAAAGTATTTACGACTCTACGTGTCTTAAAAATTGTTTAAATTTAATTACGATCGATTTTGTTCATCGATGGTGAAATTAAGGAATATTACGTGATAAAGAAAAGAAGATTCATCGATCAATTAACATTACAAATATTTCGACTACGTGAATTTATAAAATGCGAGATATAAAAATTGACGCACGTCAAAGTCACTATTAAAAAACATAAAAATTCAAGAAATTTGTCAAAATAAAATGTATGGAACTTCGTGCATATTTCAAATCACATTTTTTTTCATCCATAAATTCTCTTGACGATACCAACATATATTCGAGTCTATGAAAAATTTGTCAAATGCAGTCCTCGATCAATAATTACTACATACGCGAGTTCATAATACAGAGAGAAATAGAAGAAAACAGGGAAAAAAGGGATCACGACGTTAAATTTGCGAATTACCGAATTTCCTTGCCATTTACTAGCGGGTTACAGCTATTTCCATTATAAGGAGCTATCGCGTTCATGGCATGAAAAACCCCGGGAACGGCTATAAAGTTGTCTGTCAGCTCGGCCAGAAAATCCTCTCTCGTAAATCGCGTGATAAACTAAGTAAACGTAGGAAGCGTTTCGAAATTTTCTCCGCTAAGAACACTTTCGAACATGCAACAACATCCCAGCGGCTTCTGGAATTTTTCTCCCAGCGGCCAAAGGGAGACAAGGGAGAGCCCGTGGATCACGCGATGGATACCGGATTTCCGGCGGGACTCGCTTGTATTCGTCACCGTCGAATTATGCAACGCCAACGAATTTAGATCCCCTGTCCCCCTCGACGCCCCACGCGAAGATTCCTGCGTTCGTGCATTCGCCACGGACTTTTTGCTCCAACAAATTTACGATTTTTCGCGAAAATGGAACACGTACATGCCTGGCACACGTGTTTCAAATACGGGCTGGGAATTTGGCTTCTTAGCGGAAGCGGGAAAATTACGATACCACGTTTGATGGATATAAACGATATTCTTAGGGTACCGTAAAAAGGGATGAAAGGAATTTAAAAATTTGTGATATTTTTCGAAAATATTCCGCGTCGTGTTACGTTATTTCTCGATCAAGTTTAGGCAATACTTTAGAAATTTGAAGGATCAGAAATTGTATACCTATACTTCCAATTTCGTATAGTAATTTAATTACTATACTATCGGTAGCCCTCTCTTAAATTGCAGCGAGAAATTATAATTAAAATTTGTTGAATTATAAGTAAGTAAAATTCAAATTGCAGAGGGTTAGGTTTGTGCATTTGATAGCCCGGTAGTTGTATATTTTTACTTATATCCTAATTCGATTACTATACTTTGATAGTCACCTTTTAAATCGAAGTAAGAAATTGTATTTAATTAAAATTTTTTTAAATTCTGATAGTATAGGGTTAAGTTTTTATTAGCTGAGTATTAAAATTTTGAAAGTATAGTGTGCATTGTGTTAGATAAAGCTCTATTTGCCAGGATAGTAATTAAAAATTAGTACAGATTCATTTTCTAACACGATACAAAAATCTATGATCATATATGCATATACAAGAAGGATCTAGAGGATCGTAACTTAGAAACGCATAATATGCATACAAGTAAGAAAGGAAGATTCGGTAAACATGGATCTGTAAATTAATCCGTAAGTAAATATAGACAATATATTTTACTTCTTTCGAGTTTGTCATCCACAAGTTGTAACACTTCACAAAAACACAGGTGCGGCTTTATCTTGCACTATTCCTTACAGGATTAATGTACAAATCTATGTTTACTCGATACCATTTGCTTATACCCTGTGCATCAAGTCCTGTTCTCCGGAACACACCTGAAATGTAACTGCAGCTTATCACGCGTACAACACGCTTCCAACTTACCATTTTCCTCAACGCTAATTCAAAAATAAATACAATTATCGGAAACATAATTCTCGACTCTCCTTTGACACGTTAAATAATCATAAATTATAAACTTTGAATAATGAAATATTACCCAAAGAACAACGGATGTTAAATGAGAAAAGAAAAAGAAAATTCGAGGAAATAAAAGGAAACTTTTCTTCTTCTAAATAAAATAAAATAAAATAAAATAAAATAGGAGAAGTAAAACAAATTCATAGATAAAATAAAGTAGAAGGGATATGAAATAAAATAAAAAAGGAAGGTTATTCTTGAAATATCAGAGAATAACGAGCAGCACTGTGCAATAGTAAAGCTTTGGAATTCAACATGCTTGGAATAAAGGACGATGACTGGGAACGGTACGGAATGAGCAAAACAAAGTTATGGTTCCCGATGAAAGAGGAGCCAGCCAAGATTTCATCGTATCAGAAAGCCATTCGGGTTGCACGAAACCACGGCGACCGATTCCTTTTTAGCTCACCTCGGAATCTCGACGATGCTCAGATTCTGGAAATGTACGGGACACCAGATAAGTTCGATTAATCGTTTCCCATCGCGACCAATCGATGATATCGACGACGAAATTCCACCGAGCCACGACGAAGGCATAATTCTTTTTCTTATCGGAAGGATTCCTCGATTAGGCGATCGGTATACTTGGACATTTTATGAGTGGACCGCCTTCATCGAATCCATTAAGCCGACGTAATTAGCCAAAGTTAATTAAAAGATCTTAATTAAAAGAATTACCGCGAGATCTTATCGGATTGATCGTACAAAATGAGCATTTGATCACTATGATTTTTTACTATTTAAATTATTATCGTTTTATCGCTAAAAATATTTCACGTTCTTCGGTGACCACCATTTTATTCTTTAGCATTAGGATTATTATTTAATTAAATAATTAAAAACTTAGAAAATATTAATATTTTATCTATCAACATTGAAACGATATTGTTTTAATATCGTTTCAAGTATTTACAAAATAAATAGTTTCATGGAAAATTCGTCCATGACTGGTTTAGGTTAACCTAATTTCATTTTTCTCCTTCTTTTTCAAATTTCAATTTTATAATCCAAGTATATCGAAATGATTATTCTTTTCGTGTATAAACAATGGGTATTCTCGTCGATCATTCGAATACTGGGGCACAGACAATTTCTTCAGCATTCAACACCTAACTATAAAAAAGTTTGCACGTATATATATATATTTACACAAAATTCGATGGTCCGTACCGTTACCTGCACGTGTCATCCATTTGCCAACGATAGTAACCTACGTTACAACACGTATAAATAACACGATACCAATAACAATTCGCTTTCTCTATACCTCATGCCGAAACAGCTAACCGATTAAACTTCCAATCACAACGATCAATCGAACACCGTCATCCATTTCCACATACAGAATAAAACAAGCAATTTCGCTTTTCTCGCAAAATCTATCCCTTTTCCCATTACTCGTAATACACTCGCACCTGAACCATTCCATGATCTACGTTCAACCTTCGGCAATTTTATTAATATTTTATCCACCTCAACTTCGATGCTATTATTTTCATCATTTTTGAATACTATCTTTATCCAATTTACTACCCTACTATCTACACCTTGGATGTAAATTCTGTGATTCAAAGCATTTCACATTGCTCTCTTCGTAATAAAATAAATCATAAATCAATGTATGTTAATTACATATTCTTCCTCTTTTTTTAATTTTTTATTTTGTCGTTCATCAACAATTGTTAATGTTAGGTATACTATGTGTGACCTAAAACAACTAGTCTTCCTCCAGTATAGTTCAGGGAGACTGAAAGGTTGTACACCGTTTCTCTAGTTCGCCTACATCTATTATGTCATTACATTCCACTAAATGTTTTAGCTGCCCGCCATTCTGCATAAAATATATATTAAACCAATGTCGGCAACCTTTGTCCCATCGTATGCCAAAATTCGAAACTCGAAATTCCACGCGTGCCATAATGCGAACACGATATTAAATACTTAAATATATTAACAGAAAAATTTAATTCGCGGCGTGGTATCTGCTATATACAAATTTCGATGAAATTCCTTTTCTATTTTCTATTCCGCAAAAATACCGGAATCCCAAAATACCGAAATACCGAAACACCAACATACCAGGAAAATAACATACGAAAAATAAACAGAATCTCCAGGAAAAGAAGAAAAAGGGGAAAAATAGCAAAATCAGCACGGGAAATATCAAAATCACTTTTTACCGCGACATTCGAGCCGAGGAACAAAAGTACCAAGCATACATCCACCTCAAACACGAACAACGACTTGCCTGACAAACACAGGCAGTCTTCCAACCCCCAGCTTCCTAATAAACCATAAACCATGCCCTGGACCGAGCACCAGGGATCGTACATAACAAGCAATCATCGCGTGGAGGACGACGCTAACAGGACCGATGTCCAGCCCGCAATTTACCAGGACGAAAATATTTCGGAGGTCGTCGTAGCTCGATATCATCGATTGCCCGGCAAACGTTCCCTAGCATTACATAAATTTACCTCGTACGTGTATCGAGAAATGGCATTCGGCTCGATTTCCGGCTGCATCGGAAGCGATGTAGCGCACGTTGTGAATGCCGGGGTACATCAGTTGTCCGGGTTCCTGCGCGGGAATATACGCGAGTCAACTTTCGATGGCGCACCGAGTCTCTCGGCCGATTTGGGATTGAAATACGGAACGGCCGATACCGTCACCTCCCAACCCTCGAATTATTATCAGAGGACGTGCGACGGGTTCCGTTTAACGTTCGATAACCTGGCGTTCCCAGACACCGCGACGAGGGTTCCTCCGGCAGAATTCTCAACGAGTTCGTCGACTCCGAACTTTTCACGATTGCGCCGAGTTGCATCGATTAAGTGGCCGTCTCTGTACGAGTCTCTCTCGATTTCCTTTATTTTTTATTTCAGTTTCCTCCACCGTCTCGGGATGCATTTGCGTGGAATGTTGGAGACTCGTTGTGATTTTTGGAGCTGTATCTTTTGGATGGAATTAGGAGCAGAATTTTGAAAAATTAAACACGAAGAGTATTTGGGAAGTTGTATGGGAAGATATGGATAGCGTGTACAAGAGGATCGATATTTATGACAGAGAAAGTTTAGGTATGTTCTTAACACTGAACATAATACGACATAATCAAATCGGTGCAGCTGCAACGGGAATTTCTCGGAGCGAATGTTCAACGTATGCCTAATTTTTTGTGTCAGGTCATGATACATGGGCGATAACGTAGAAGTGTTCTTGAACCTTCCTGGCAAACGCAACGCGAGTTTATACTGGAGCGACATCTGCGTAATTAATTTTTTGAAATCATCGAAAAGGTATTCGAAAGAATTGAGTTTAAGGCTAAACGTATCGGTATTTTACACACACCTATTTTTATCATAAGGAGTCAATTACCTCGAGGTACATGAGGTATGCAAAGAATATTTTTCGGTAAAAATTAAATTAAATTAAGAGAAAAAGGAAAAGCGAGAAATTAAACAATCAGATAATATACGAATTTATAGAAAGTCAGATGAGCGAAAGAAATAACAATAAATGTACAATTGTAAAGCAAATTTTGAAAAGGGCCATTTGTCAATCTTGCTTGGTACGTTTAGTGTTAAGGATTCAGGGTGCATGGCATCATATGGGACGAAATTGCGAGGGTGAGTGGAAAATGAGGAATTCTGGGTGAACCTGACGAAACGAATCGAGTGTCAAAGGTTGAGAATTAGAGTAAAAGGCAATATATGTTTGAGGATTTTGAAGAAGAGTCCTGAGAGTAAGATAGTCAGTCCAGTGAGAGCTCTGAAAGAGTTTGCGTTATCTTCTAATTGAAATAAAACTGTTATTGTTAGAAAAGAGGCGTCGTTCTCAAACTTCTGAGCCATTGTCCACGAGGGATTTAATAAGGGATAATCTCTACAATTGGATCATGTAAATTTGACAGTGAATGGATTTTCAAGAGCAAGTTTTGTCCCTGCAAGGATTTAATCTAGATCTACAGAACAAAGAATCGATTGAAATTGTTGTAAATATACGGAGATTATTTGGATTCGATTTGAATATATTTCTCGGTAAATCTTTTAGATTATACCGCGTATTGCGAAAGAAACGACGGGGCATAGACGAGTGAGAAGGAATTCAAGTAAGTCAAGAGCTTGAAGGAGAAATTATAATTAAAGAGACCCTCAATTTGTATCGAGTTTCGTTCCAAAGATAACTCGCAACGAGATCAAGTGTGTCAGATGATTATGCGTTTGCGGTGGAACTAGGACAATGAGAAAAGTCGAGGTACTTTCTCGATACGTCTCCACGAAACATCAATTAATTAATCGATTGATCAATTTCGCTCGTTATCGCCCACTGTAATTCAGATAAAAAATGCCGGTTCAGTTTCAATAACTATTGTCCTACCGTATTATCGATTCTCCGAGATAATAAGAAATTTTATCTACGATATATAAATTAATATTCGCCAGTCAATTAATCACCCATTATTTACTTTTTGTACTTTCATTATCCGCATTACCTATTATAACGATCTCAGAACAGAATAATAAAATTTAATTCTCGTGAAATCGAAATCACCGTATATTAGATAGAAATCGTAATTTGAAATGATTAAAACGGCAACATTGGGTGCCAAGTTTAAATAAAAAAATTAAAAAATGATGAAAATTAAAGAATGAGGAAATAGTACAATCTCGAGAAATTGGAATAACTGGAGACATTGGAAAAATGATTATTTCGAAAAGATGACAGCGTTAAATATCAAGTGATCAAAACGTTAATATTGGATACCGAATTTTAAATAGAAAAATTAAAAAATGATGAAAATTAAAGAATGAAGAAATAGTACAACCTCGAGAAAATGGAATAACTGGAGACATTGGAAAAATGACTATTTCGCAAAGATGACAGCGTTAAGTATCAAGTGATCAAAACGATAATATTGGATACCGAATTTTAAATAGAAAAATTAAAAAATGATGAAAATTAAAGAATGAGTAAATAGCACCCCCTCGAGAAAATGGAATAACTGGAGACATTGGAAAAATGACTATTTCGCAAAGATGACAGCGTTAAGTATCAAGTGATCAAAACGATAATATTGGATACCGAATTTTAAATAGAAAAATTAAAAAATGATGAAAATAAAAGAATGAAGAAATAGTACAATCTCGAGAAAATGGAATAACGGGAGACATTGGAAAAATGACGTTAAATAACGGAATTTTTAATTCAAATTTTAAAAACGATTTAAACTATGACGGATTTCGTGTCAAAATCGGTTTCCTTGCAACAGTTCCTTGCAGAATAACCAAAAAAGCTTTCTAGTTTCATTTACCATCATCTAACAGCTCCTTTACGCCGCCACCCTTCAGCGTTCACAGTTACACGCACTTTCATTTCCTCCCTTCGGCAATATCCCTTCTTTTAATCTCCATTCCACGGCCACCCAGGCTCTCACCGCTTTAATCGACGCAACTTAGCAATTTCGCCGACGAGTACCGGAACGTCGCGTTTATTAGCCGCGTAGGAGGAAGCCCGCCAATTACGGCTGGTCCAATTATCGGCCGTCCAGCCAATTCGCGAGCACGTTATCGCGTTATAACGCGACGATCGCGGTGTCGTTCGCGTGCTTGACGCGCGCTTGAAAGCCAACCGCCGCTAATTACCATCGCCCTCCAACTTTCCGTCCAAACCGCCACCCCACTACTACAACTCCAGCCCGCGGATACAAACCGAGAAAGTAAAAACCAGACAGGATGAAAAGGGAGGAAAGGGATAAACGGACAGGCAAAAACGGGGAAGGAAAAAGAAATAGGAGAAAGTCGATCCACCAGCAGTCCCGACTGCCTCTTCCTCTTCATCCAACTACCCCGCGTGTCCGAGACACAGCGGGGTAATTAACGGCGAGTATCTTGCCGGAGATAACCGCGAGATTGGAAAGTTCGATCGTTAAGAGCGGAGGTTTTAACCCTTTGCGCTGCAGTGGCGCCACCACGGAAACATCCACGATCCGCAATTTGTTGTCCGGATTCATATTCGTCGACGGAGATGAAAAATCGAGCAAAGTTCTACGAATAAATTCCCCAACTTGGTAATGCTCGTGTAACGCGATTCATAAATTGCACTTGGTTTTTACACGATACGAAGCATTGCCAATCTTGCCTGCGATTTAACACCAATTTTTCATTTTTGAAACGAAGAAATTTATTTTCCAAACAAATAGGCGAATTGCGTTTTCTAAAGAGAAATTTTCCGAACATAACCTCACTTTTACTTCGCGCGGAATCTGAACGCCATTTTGTCAGCCGATATTTTTCTCCTAACCTAACATTCGCGTACAAGAGAATCACCGATAAGTTTATAATTTTCTTCTTTCCGAAATGAGTCTTTAGATTTGAAAAAGCTCGTCGTGCTTTTAAGATTGTTATAATTGGAATTTTTGGCTAGTCGAATGGAAGCGTTTCGGCAGTACAAAGGGTTAATAAACTCGTTCGTTGGTGAAAAAGAGGGGTGCGGGTCGAGATTCTTATCCCTGGTGGATGAAGGCCAGAGAGAGGGTGAAAGGGAGATTTTCTAAAGGGAATAAAGGAAGAAATAAAGTTGGATATAGAGCGAAGGGGTTCGTCGCGAGGCGTCATTTTCCCGAAGATCAAACGCGTCTTCGGTGTGGCCGGAGGTGACGTTGTAGATGGCGCCGTAGATGGCGTTGCAGATGGCGCTGGTGGGGACAGCTGGAAACGGAGACAGCGGGGATTACCCGGCCGATGTCGTTTGCTCACCCTCGTTTTGTAGACCCGCTCGACAGCGACGTTGTCGGTGAACGTTGGCTCCTGCCAGAATATTAAGCGATTTCGCTCGCCGGGGCTTAGCCGCACTTCAAAGGACGTCGGGCACGTCGAAACTTTCGGATTCTCCGTGTCTGCGAATGGTAATATAATCAACCGTCAGTATGATAAACAAATTGCAACGTTTTGGCCGGTCCAAACGTACCGCAAACGCGGATCGCAGGATTTAAACGAAGTATTTCGTGACCGGCCACGGATTTCGAAACTTATTTTCCAGTGAAATTCAATTAATTACGAAAAGTTGAATGTCGAATCGAAAAAAGGCACTCTCGGAATCTCGTAACTACGTTCCTAGCTCCAGATTTTTGTCTCGTTATTTTCCTTTTCTTTCTTTCGCCTGTTCACCGAGCTCGGAGCAAGTTGCACGAATTTGTCCACCCTTTTCTTCCCTAGATTCATTTTTTGGAACACGTTGGTAATTAGAACCGTGAGGAAATTTGGAATGAGAATGTATGTAGGTTAACGTGACCATTTTACTCGTTTCGAGGCTAGAATTTTCCTTTTTCCCGGGCTCTCCTTCTCGTCGTTATATTTTTTAGGGAAGCGGAGAATCGTTTCGTGCTTGGGTGTTTTGTAATTAATTTCGAAAGCAATTTGCATTCGAATGCCTTTGTCGGACTTGCGCTTAGAGACGCTCGGGGTGGAAGATGCTTAGTCGATACGTGACGCGGTATTCCACGATTAGCACGGTTAAAGAAACAGACACGAACCGTACATTCCACCTACCTCTGCCTCTGTTTTCTCCCTTATTTCGATATCATAATCAACCGTCGAGACGAATAAATTACGTTGAATAAAACAGTCGCATCGCCGAGCATTTGTACGAAGACCCAGCCAAGACCCGGCTGCAAACAAATGGCCCCAAATAAAAAGCCACGCTCAAATGTAATTAATTGCACCGACCGTGAGAACCACCCACATCCGTTCTCACGACGCACCGATCGATTCGACTGCAATTACCGATCGGTTGCTCCTGCATGTCCGCGCAGCGACCATCCAGCTTATAGTTTTATGAGCGTTAATTAAAGGAGAAACACGAGCCGACGAGGAACAACGACGAATCGCGTTAGGAGACGCTTCGCTAAGGCGGTCTGACGCGATTAAAAGTTTCGGGGATCCGATTTAATAGTTCGACGAGATCCTTGATGCCCTCGATCGAAGAGGAACTCCAGGCCAACGGACATCTATCGCGATAAATTGCGATGGGATAGTTCTTCCATCACGGTTTTGTTTTCGATTAAAAGTTTTACACTCGGCCAACGCGAAATTTCCGGTTCGAACGCCTCCTGTCTAACTTCCGCTGAAAGAATTTTAAGCATTCCGGCCTGTTTGCTTTCCAGCGTACTTAATATGGCGTCGGTGTTTCGTTACGGTTTTCACTGGCTAGCGAACGGAATTAAATTTATCGCTGCTTAGTCGATGAAATTGGAATTCCAGTTTAAGCAACTGTTTGGCTGTTTGGAATCTGTTTAGAGCAAAGGTCCATTCATCCATCGAACGAGTTCCAAGTGGAACGGTAATTAAATTTTACTTTAAATTCTCCTAGTTCCCTATAAAATTATGCTAGTTTAAATATACTGTATTTCTTGCTCTTTCCCCTTACTTATTTTTATTATAGCAATTATTCCTTTAATTTCTCCTTTTCGATAAAGAATTGCCAATAATATTCCGTTCATTTTCTAACATACCAGATGCCATTGTCTATAGACGAAGCGTTAATAACAATTACAGATTACCCTTGCAACCCTTGCAAATTACCATTATTGGAATTTTATAATAGAGTAACACAGGGCAGTATGAATCTAGTAGGAAATCACATATTCATTCTAATTATAATTGCAACAATTCTATTAATTTTAATAGAAATGAATTATAATTGCACAATCCTAATTATATAATTGACTAATTGTAATACATAGACAAGGGTATATTAACGTGTCTTATAGCCGACTAACTGGTATTTAGAATGTAGAGCAAACTGTCGCAAAATAATACCTCAAATCCAACAATACAGATTTCTATCGATCTTTTGTTTCTCCAACAAGCATAGAACGAAAGTCTCAGTAAAAGAGAATTTTCCACGATAATCGTCTCGTTCCACGCAAGTTCCACGTTCTTCGACCTTCCTTCCCAAGGCCACCGGGACACCCCGACCTCGCCATCTTTGGTCCAGCGGTCAGCAGCGGTTGGCGCCTCTTTAATCGTCGTAATTAGTCCAGCGGGAGGTTCCACGGCACAATGAAATCGTAGGTCGAGCAATTAAGAATCACCGTGCCGCGTTTGCCCGGCACTGCTGGATCAACAGCGGTTCTGTTTCGCGTAATTGCATATCGGTGCTAGCAGGCTCCATCTGACCGTGTCTCGCCCCGGTCCTCGCCGTGACGCTGTCCACCGGAAGGAACTCGCTTAAAGGGAGTTTCGCGAACTTTAGGAATGAGTAATTAAGCGGGACTCGGCTAAGTGCACTCGCTCGGAGGCTGAACTTGCTCCGTATCCGAGCGGGGCTTCGATTCGGAACGGGACCGAGGCCGATTTCGTTCCATGTCCCCGTGTGCCTTTGAAAAAAGTTTCCTTTTATCAGGGAATCGATCGACCCCCGGGTCTATTCGGCCAGTATTCCCCGGTTTCGAACCTTCCCGCCGGCTCCGCCTCGTTTTCTCCTTCTTGCTGTCTTTCTTCCAGCCCTAGATTGAACCGCGGCTTTGTAACCCGTCCGGTTTGTTCGTTAATGCCCTTCGATCGCCGCCAGCTTCCGGCGAATTGGTGCACGCTTTTTGTTTGTCTTTGAACAAACGTTCCTCCGCGAGCGGAAACGACCGCTTCGATCCTTAACCGGCGCCTCGTAGTTTTCCACCGGCGGGAGTTTGTTGTCTGCCAACTTCTTCCGTGGAAACGCGCAACGACCCTCTTTTCCGACTCGGAAACGGCTGTATAAACATACACACACACACACACACACGCACATATACACGTGGAACGAGGCCGGCAGAGGCAGAATTAATTGTGCAAATTTGAAAGTTTCCCTGGGTTTTTCACACGCTGCCCGAGATTCGAGAGAAGATACCAAGAGTTTCTTGTTTCCGCAGATTTGAAATTTTTAGATCGTATTAATCCGGTGGTTTTGCCCGGCTGTGGTTTCGCGGTGTTTTGCCCTCGATCGCGTTCACGAGTCCTGCGAGTATAAATCGTCGGAACCCTTGGAATTAATCTCGATCCTTGATAGCCACTGCGACGAGAATATTCGGGAAGATTAATATCGAAACGTTTTAAAAATTTGTCCAGGAATCCTTGACGTATTTGCTTGAAATTTTAATACGCTGTTCCAAGTTCCAAGCTGCTGTGATTAAATTACTCGGAGTTCTAATTTTCGAGGCTTTTTCTGTACTCAGTTGCTAAAGTGATATTGCGAAAGTTATTCGTAAATTACGTTATAAGTTATTAATTGTGTCCTGCATATTCATTCGTTTAACCCTAAGTTCACGTAAAATCATAGCAATTTTCGAGGAAACTTAATATCGTCGCGATTAGAGCGTCATTTTGTCGAATAATTGGCTCCTCTTCTAACCAGTCTCTCGATTACTTTTGCACCAGCCTAACCGGTCAAACGTCGTATTTTTCACCTACAAATGGAGCAACAAAATCCTTTGACTCAATTAATCCTGATAACGAAAATAACGAAAACAAGTTGGTAATATATAAAACTAATCAATAATAAGTCGATATTAATTACATCTATCCGTCGATGAATAATTATAACAATTAAGAGAGATTAAAAAAATAATCGACCGGTTTAATTATCGAGTGATAATAAATCTGGACGAATAACCGGTTCACCGACTTCGAATAAAATCACTGCGACGTGCCTAATCGCGACTAATAACCAATTAAGCGATATCACGCCTGTAATTAAGTTTCTTCCTTACTTCGCGTGGATTACTATAGTTTACGCATTATTTTACTAATTATTTCGCTCTCGGGAACAGCGATCAGGTATCACGAAAAGAAAGTCTGCACACGATACCGTATCCAACATTTACGGTACACCCCGCTTTATGTCCAAAGTAGAAAAATCCAAATACGGGTAAACACTCGATATCTGTCTATTCTCGGGGAAGTAAAAAGCGGAAGAAAAACGAGACGCATCGGCTGGCATTTAACAAAACGACACCCCCCATGAGAAACGCGGTGTCACGTAAACGCAAAGCCGATAAAGCAACAGGACGCACGAGCTAAGCCTCGCACGAGCTCCGCGTACTGCTAGGAACCTGACATTAATAATAGAGACGTTATATTGAACGATCAGGATGAAGAATTATGGGACACGTTTGTTGCGCCCCGGCGAGCGCGGCACAGAGCCCGGAAAAATCCAAGAAACAAAGGAACCACGTGAGAAAGCCTGTTCGCGGGATGATATGTGATCGACCGTTTCGATTCCTTTCTTTACGCGAACGCTTTGGGCAACGACGCCATTATCCGCTGGTTAAACAGCGCGATCGTAAATTATGCGCCACGAGATCAAATAATATCGCAAAATAACGTTTCTATTCGAACTATCGTCGACCATATCGTGCGAGACACGATATTGCGCTGAACGACCATACGCTGCGGTCGCATCGGTCTAAATTCCCTAGAATTCCCTAGAATTCCAATTTCGCCCACAAACTCGATCTTTTCATCTTTTATTCGATTCTTTTACCTTTTAACGACCCTTTCCCATTCTGGCTTACGATTAATACCTACGTAAGACTAATTGTAAATTATTTTTCACACCCACGAAGTGGTTATTATGCGTTACAATTACTTGTTTCCATCGAGTATCGTGTACCGTAAATATCCAGTGTTAAGAAACACAGAGATATCGTGAGATTTGTAGTATAAGCAACATCGTGTACCGTAAATATCCAGTGTTAAGAAACACAGAGATATCGTGAGATTTGTAGTATAAGCAAAATTTCAGCGGTATTCGACGTTGCGCCAATTTGCAATGAATTTCCGCAGAATTCGCGAAATTCCGAGTTACTAAATAAACATGAAATTCCGAGCTAAAACAACGGGAATCGTAATCGCGCGGTATTAATTAGAAATGAAATACGCGAACAATTTATTTCTCTTACAACCATGGCACGCGTTGTTCGTACGCCTTACAAATTAATCGGCAAATTCGCAGATCTGCGAAATATTTCACGAAGTTAATCAAAATGCAAATAACGAATATCAGAAGGAGGAATGGAAATTAAATAAATTCCAGTAGTTCATCGCGCGAGTTAAATTGCCATAAAATGCGAGCATGCTCATCCGACACAGCATGAAACACCATAAGTACGCGTAACAGTTGTACGATATTTAATTTGGCTTTTAAACTCAAAGGATCTCGAGGCACTGCGTTTCATCAGTTCTTTCTTTTAGCGATGTTCCTTTATCTTCGGCATATTCCTTTCTTTTTTACCGGCGTCATTATTATTGCTCCTTTCCACTTCTATATTATTTCCTTTCAAGCTTCTCAGCGCCATTCACCTCGTTAACAATCAGACGAGAATTCTATCCTCGGACCAGTACTGAAGAAGGTTATAATACTCTTTTTCAACATCAAACGTGAAAAATGTATTTACCGAGTTCTTTATCTCTTTCTTGTATTTCACTTCGACAATCATGAAAGATCGTAATGCACAATAATTTTGTTTAAATTATCCTCGATAAGGATATTTATTGGTGGAATTATTACCATCGTTGACGTTGAAAATTTAATATGAAAGCTGCATAGATATTAACGCGTTAAAACATCTTTCTTTCATTCTTCTTTTTTTCCTCCTTTTCATTTGGTTTCTAAATCGTTCATCTGTGCGGGAATGAAAGTACGGTAACTCTATTGGTGCAATAACAAAATATAGAAAGCAATGAAAGAATCTTCCGATGGAAAAACAGGGATATATGTATAGAAACTTTTTGCGTCCATTTCGCAACACCACGAAGAAAAACAATTTTAACTTTTTCAACTGTGCTGTAACTCTCTCTAGCAATCACGTCCCGATTTTATCCTCGGATGATCCCAGTGCAATCTCGTACCGATGTCACATGTGTGGACATTCTGAAGGTTCAAATAGAAAATTTCGAATTTCCCTACATGAAACGTCGCGTGGATATTTGTGCAAAGAAGGAACAACGCTATTTGTGGCGACACATAAATACAAATCAAAATATACAATTTTCTTTCGATTCTCGAAAATAATATTACATGCATGAATCAAAATCTAATAATACTGGGGAAAAAATGCATAAACAAATTTCAATAAAACCTGACAAATATTCCATTCTGGACATACAGAATCCAGAATTATAAATATTTTATGGTACGGATTTCTACACGCGTAATTCCCTTTTTGTCGCAAATAAAAGGCACCACAAAAAATTAAAAAATTACTTTATTTATGTTAAGAATCAATTTTGCACATTTAGCTGAGAATCGCAATGCAAAATTTCTAAATTTTTGTACATGCATCTATATTTCCCACTCGTATGATTTATGCTAATTGTAAGTATACAACACTGTTATAAAATATCTAGAAAATCAGAATAAAAGCGGAGCTTTTAGCAGTCCGATTAATCGTCGATTTCATTGATCTGCGAATCGAATTCGCAGACATTAGAAACGCTGACCACGGTTATTTTTTAGATTTCTCAGGCTTTTTAGGCTCAAAGAACTCGTCTAGAAAAGATCTAAAGAATAGGCTAAAAGAAAAAGAAAAAAAATAGGTTTTTTTGCATATCGATTTGTTTGCCCATTTTTCACCCATTTCGCAGAATTCGCTAATCGAACACCCGTATACCAGGATTTTCGAAATTATTAACATGCAGGTTTTCTCTTAGCTGTTTTAAGTTCTCTCTAAAGAATTAAGAAAAATTGAAGCAACTGTTCTATGCTTCGTACTTGCAATTTTACCATCAGCTAATTTCGTAATGGGATTTTTGCATACGCAAACGGAACGTCATAGTAAAAATAATAGAAAAATGGTATGGTATTGATAAAGGATAGAGAGTGGTGCTAGATACCGATGAAATAATGTATGCACAGCGCGATACACGTCTGTTTCATCGATATCTCTATGATCTCGATTGGGACATAACTCGAGAAATAGAGTTACAGTTAACGCGGACTACGATGTATTTATGTGACGAGTATTATGGCGTACTCGTGAAGATCGATGAAACAATGACGTTCTCACGAATTAATGCGACTGGTTCGTTTCGCGAGACGAAGTGGTCGACTCGTACTCAGTTCAACTCGAAAATCGTCGACAAATCAAATTTCCTCGTCACTAGTCTTTGAAACATTGAGGAAGATAGCAGTTATAGATAATGCTTAGGAAAATTATTCTAGTAGCTTTAATTTTTAGAAGTTAATTTACGTACATTCGGCATATTATAAAAGAGAAAACAAAAATAAGAGTATACCGAAAATATTATTCACGTAGATGTGTAATATATACATAACACAGCCAGTGTAGGTGTAACTTGTTGAAGAATAATATTTTGCTAATCTAATTATTTTAATTGCAATAAAAATTGCAGTAACCGGTAGTATATGATAAATTTGGAAATGAAATTAGAGAATAATTCTCCATTTCTATCTTAATCGCGAAATAAAAATGGGCCTTCCTACCAACGTATATATGTAACATGAATACTTAATAAGAGTAGTGTTAAATAAAACAGCAGATAGAAATAATTAAACGAAATCATCGTTCCGTGAGAAGGACTAATTCCTGCGAATGCAAGGAAATTCCTTAAAGAGAAAGAAGCCAAGTAGAAGCCACGCCTAAGAGCTTAAAATACAAACCGTAATGACCTATTGGAATGCATATATTACGAGCGTATAGCACAAGCACGTCCCTTAATTCCACGGAATTAAGATCGCAACGCCTAACGCGAGTCTCGCGTGACACGAAAGTCGCATAAATTCGAATCGAAACGACAATGTTAATTCTCCGGCCACTCGTACGTGAAATAGGATATAAATCGCGAGATCTCCACCGCCTTGCCATTAAATTATCCCTGTAAACGGCAATTTTCCAATATCTCGCCATATCCGATCGATCGTGCGTCATAATTCGTCGATATGGAGATCTCTCTGATCGTGTTCGCGTTGTCATAACGTCGTTATGGCTGGAACGCTCGTATGGTTATCATAAATACCTGCGCAAGATTCAACTATCGTGGACAGCACGAGAAACTGCCCCACGAATACCCCAAGTTCCTCGCGATAATGGCGTTACGGGTGAAATTACTTTTGAATTTCGCGGAATAAAAATCTCACGAGACGTTTGTAATTTCCGCGCGTAATTCGAACTTGGATCGAAGTTTTCGCGATTAAACTTCATAACTTGTCTCGGAGATTCTTTGATATACCTTTATTTCCTATTACGAAAGAAGATAAGGCTGCATGCCTCGAACTTTCTTCTCGCTGATACAGTAACGCACCGGGACAGTGGCTAAACGAGTAGAAATATCAGGTGGCTAGATTTGTCGTGGAAACTTTTCTCACGGACGAGATGATCCATTATAACCTCGCTTTTTTCCAAGTTTCATTAAAAGTCTCATAAATTCGCATATTTTCCTCGTTAAATCTAAATTGCTTCTTTCTGTACGCAACTTCGCCTTAATATTTCCTTATCTCGGTGTTTCTCGTTTAGAGGGTATTTTGAAAAAGGTGGACAACATTCGTGAACCAAGTTCGTCTTATCTTTCATTCCGGAGCTCTCAAAATTTCGCAGAATTTCAGTGCGGTGGGTGTATAACGTAATATTTGCGTTGCAGATTTAATTCGAATTATAGGTTATGTTAGAGTAAATTAGCATCACCGTTTGTACACAGGTACATCGTAAAGCTGAGAAGTCTTACTTCGAAACATTGAATAGCATCGATAATATCATTTACACAGAGCGTCTGTGCACACTATTTAATTTCAAGTTTAAATATTTCCCAAAATCGCAAGTTTCCGCAAAATTTTTGTCCCTAGACCGTCTGTTAGATCTTACCTACACCTTTCTATCAGTAGCGAGTGTCTGGCTAATTAAGTTGTCGTTTACATGCGATTAGACCTACCTACAGATCAGTTAGGCGCGACTCACAGCCCACTGAGATTTCCTAACCTCGCTTTTCAAGTTTACATCTGCATACAATGAGCGATATTTTCTGAGCTCGTGACAAATCGGTAGATCGAACGAATATCTATGAATACTAACCTCGAACGCGGATCACTATCCTGCACGTGCTGGTGTAATTGGACACGGGCGACCATGCTGTGAAAGTGACGACCGTCGTACCTGCCGGTAAATCCGCCTGCAACTGCTTGGCCCACGACGGCGAAGCGTCCACATACCTGCAAAACAAACGAGTCATCTCTCGGTCCAGCCGATACACGATCCACCACAATCGTGACATACGCACAGATTTCTCGAGATCACGATTTGTCCGCCTGTCAAAGGTGGCATGGATCGATCGCTGGCCGATTATCATACGAATACGAATCCGTGTCGCGTTTACGATCGACGCGACGATCGACGCGCCGCGTCGCGGATGATTTCTCAATCACGCCGCGCAGAAGCGCGCACGAGCGACGCTCGGCTGAATAAATAGGGACGCGGGCACAAATACCGGGGCAAAGACGTGTATACGGCCTTGGAAGGAAGCCCCTAAGCTCGTTTGGAATTCCCATTGTGCTCCGTGGAAGGCTTGCGAGCAGTCCCGGTTGCGACACGAGATAAACCATTCTATTGTGGCGACATATTGCAGCGGAGAGATTCGCGAAAAGAAATTAATTTCGTCCCGTCGCGCGAGACTTTACGACGAATGGCGGAGATACTTCGACTCGGATGTTTAATGCGTCAATTAATCTGGAACGAAGCAGCCGAGGTACATAAGGGTGGAGTGTGTAAATAATGCCGATGCACGTCTCGGAAAGCTCGAATCAACTGAAGCTACAGTGTGTACAACGAATGGCGAGGAGAGAATAAAATTCCTCGCGAAATTGGTATGGAACAATTTTTTCCTCGGGAGAGGAGTCTCGAGAGATAGCATGACTTCCTTGGCATGGAAGCTAATATCCTTCTTATCGGAATATGTAATTTATTCCGAGTGAATTTATTTACGCGCGAATATTTAAATAAATAATAAATAATACAGTGACGTAGTTACAACTTCTAGCAAATTTTAGCAAATTTGATTTCTGTACCCGGTTGTTGTATAGAAATGATTTAAAACCGATTATTAAAACATCGTCGAAAACTAAAATTGTGTATCGCGTAAAGAAAGCCATCTAGGGGGTGGACCACCCTACAAGCTACGCTACTGGAATAATGTACTCTTTCGCGCTTATTTAAATCGTATAAAACGAAATGCGTTAGAAATATTTGATCTGGAAATATAATTCGATAAAACCAGTTCCAACGAGCTGTGTTCGCTATCCTCGATGACCATAATTCAAATCTCCATGTTTCCAGGGCTGCCGCGAGATTCTAATATCCAATGACACACACAGACCGTACATAGACAATAATAGAACCGGTACAAAGATACGAGATACCACGCAGAGATACAAAGGAACACATTTCTCTAATAACAGGATCGCTGTACTTTTCATACCTTACCATTATCATCTAGCACACGGACCAACGAGGCAAACCAGTTTCTAACCTAAAACGATCTTACATGGTACACGGGATCGACGAATGACGACATTCGTTAGCTGCAAATAGCGTTAGCCGCAATAACATCGACGATGTCTTGATAAATACCTCCACCAGTTCATGTTGGACTTTGGCTGCGGGAACGAGACGCGTATCGTGTTCTGCCTTGCGGGTAGCTCCACGTCCATGTCTCGGGGACACCTCACGAACGGCCGTGGCATGTCTGAAGCAACAAAGCCTGTTATTAAACATGCGGTTTTCCGTGAAACGCCCGGCGGAATTATAGTTGCAGAGGAGACGCGAAGCAACGGTTCACCTGGACGCGTGCGTTTCGACGCCCACGAAATTATCACGTTCCACGAGAAATCGTCTGTGGACCCACGCTCGGGGTAATCGAATTATCGAGGCGCCGTGGCCAAATTGCCCGTGGGGCTCAATTACCGCGTCTTCGCGGTGAACTGTCCCCTTCGAGATCGGCCGGCTTCTTACTTTACGCGTTTAATTGTTTGGCGGCGTTCCACCCGTATCCCGTAATTATTTGCCGACGTAAAAGGCATTTCTAATTGCCGCCAGGCCCCTTTCCATGCATACAGAATGTGGCGCGCTGAGAGTGCCTCGTCGGAGGCAAATGGCGTGGAAGGCAAACGTTTCGACGAGTTGACTCTCGTCAAACGGCTGAAACGTCTCTGGTTTGGGCGGCAATATCGCTATTGATTGGCAGTTAATTCGCGTATTTGGTTTTCTAGTAATGAGATTGGGACTCCGTATCTGTGCAGCAGCATTGCTGGATCAAGGATTGCGTTGGCTAGGAGATCGGCCATTTTTACCGAGCAAATTATTACTCCATGTTGATTGCAATCGGCAGCCTGATAATTATTACCCTCGCTGTTCTTGCGAATGAAAATTTGTAGTTTAGGGATATTGGTATTTCGAGTGATATCCTTGATTAAGGTAATGTGCATTTTTCCTGTCATTTATAGTAACGTGATAATTTGATCTATTATTATAGTGTATATAATGTACTTATTGGGGACTTGGTTAGAGGGCGTGTGTGGCGTAGTGCGAGTTTCTGAGTGTGCAGATTGGAAAAGAAAGTTAAAGCAAAGAAATGCGTTTTTACTGGTGGGAAAAAGGTAAAGAAAAAAGAAGCTTCGACTGACATTTTATAGTTAAATACAAAAACTAATAGGTTAAATGCGATAATACAGGCGTTAAAGAGAACAAAAAAGTGAGGTTAGGTTCGATAGGATTATAAGTATTGTGGATACAAAAAGAATAGTGGTAACAGATACAAAGGTATCTTCAATTTATAATAATAGATAAAGAGTAAGTAAAAGTATATTTTGTTATAAATAAATCGAATGAAATTAGTCTTTCTGTTTTAATTTTGGTACAAATCTAATGATATATTTTGATACAGTTACTGTTCACTCGAGGAGAACAAAAAAATTAATTTCATTCCCTTTTGGTATTAAAAATCAAACAGAATCTTTAATTAATTAAGGTGAATATGCACAAAATATTGAATGAAATTAGTTATTTTTCTTTACATCTTTGCCTACGATATCGCGTGAGTATCATAGTAAGGAAATCGAGCCAAACATGAGTAAGAGGCGCGGTTTGTAGACGAGGTTCAATATAAACAATACGAGCCAGGTTCGTAGTCGATTTTCGTCTATTTCTTTCTGACTCAGTTGCGTGTTATTCTTCGACACGTTAGGACGAGTTGGTTCGACGTATGACGAATCTTCCTGTTGATCTTTCCACGCGCCATCGAAACCTCGACAGTCTTCGAACGAGAGTTTGGTGAGTGATATTTACTTCACATCCTTGAAATTTTTACACTGTTCTAAGAGAAATTTAAATTGGACGATGGAATAGTGGTCCGTGACCAATAGTAGAGGAATCGGTTCGAAGGTTTTCGTTGCAGAACATACCTGCGCGTTTATTTCGTCAAGCTAGTAATTCACATAGCTAGAAAAATAGTAATTTAGACGTACTTCTTCAACGTTTAACGATTATTTTCATTAGTCAGGCTCGTAGTTAATTTTCAACAATTATCTTCCTCGCACGTGATCGACTCTGTTGTTGATTATGGCACGGAACTTAGGGCAAGGTATAATTTAGGGGGTTAGGTTAATTCTAGTATAAACGCCATGATATATTTTGATACAATTATTGTTCACTTCGGGAGAAGTCAGCAGTCGATTTAATGTCACTTCAACAGTCGATAGATTAATCGAATTAATTTCATCAACAAAGGTGCTTTTAATATTAATAATCGAATAGAATAATTAATTTAGCTCAGTATCCCAATTGATAAATATTCTCGCGCTTAAATCCCTGTCTTATTGCCAATTCTTTCCATTGACATATGTCAGCAACTCTGATTGCGAAGTTTATGTCTGCGAAATCGCGAGATAAATCACTGCCCCATCTCCAATCTCGTGAAAGCTGACATCGAAAAATTCGAATTAACATAACGTCATAAAACTCAATTATAACGACACCAATTTCATCGGACATGCCGGAGCAATTACGAACACGTAAACCTCGACTTGTGGACCTATAGAGAACCGTTATCAACACGCCTCAGTGGAGAATCACTGTAATCAGAGTCCGTGACCTGACAGCACGTCGATATTAAAATTCTACCAGCGGAAATCCTCTTCGTCGAATCTCCGACGCTCCGAAGACTTTCGTATTAGCATCCATGACGTAAATTTTATCATCACTGGATGTTTCCGACGTTTCCCTCTCAGAAGTCGAAGCAGTGCCTCTAATGTCTATCGCAGCTTAAATGCGACTCTCAAGTCAGCCGACGCTAAGACGTTAAATAAAACAGCGTCGACGAATTTATGATCAGTATATCCTGCCAGGATATCGTATCAGAGTCTGCGAAATGTATCTCAAAAATCTTCGCAAGAGGAAAACAGTTGCCTTCGGATTGACTTTTTATCTCGGTTGTATCTAGGGATCTATAGGGACAGGTATCTTCAATGGAAACGAGGAGGTAGAAATTTTTATTTAAATTATACGATTTAGTCAATCGGTTAAATATGGAATTTCAAGGATTCGAAGGTTTTTGGCTTGAACTGCTAGGTTAGTTGTGAGGACAGTTTGTCACCTTGGGAACAGGAAGAGCAGAGTTCTTGGGCTCTAGACTGATTCATGGCGGATTTTGCAGCTTCAACGTCAGCGATGTCGAGATCTCTGGATTCTAGATAGGTTCGGGGTGGATTTTGCGACCCCAGAGTCAGGAATCTAAAGGACTCCGACCCCTGGGTTGGTTCTGAGTGAATTCTACAGTCTCCAAACGTGGAAACGTAGAGGTTCCTGTACTATGAACTATATCTGAGGGAAGTTTCATGACTTTTGGCACGTTCTGTGGTGAACTTTGCCACCGACTACCATGGATTTCGAAATTCTACGTTTCCTGGCTATGAGATATTTGTTATGAACGCGTCGAGTATTCTAGCACTCTTGAATTTTCTGTCGAGATAGTGGAATTTTTAATTCTATTAATTTTGAGAATAATTAATTATCACTCTTCTTCTCTAATTAGCAACCTCCATTAGTATCTTTTACATGCCTCTAAAATCCTATAATTGTAATTATCAAAATGGCAATTATTTAATAGCAGGGTCTATTGTATCCAAATTTCGTCACATGTGAAATATATCTTTCACAAGAATCCCAATAGAATTTTCACAAAAATTACAACGAATATTGTATTCACAAGGTTAGCTTCCACCTTACTAAATTTTTCATACAACTGATCTCATTCATTCCCACCACCAGCAGTGTGTTCATTAAATAGAAAAATTGGCAAAGAAGTACTTATCAGCTTGCTTCGATAAAACGGGACTACAAACGTGTCGAAATCTCATTGCTGTTGGGAGAACAAAGCGGCATGGAAATCACTGAGAAGAAGAATAGACGGGGAAGAGGGAAAGAAGCGAAAGGACTGAAAACAACGCAAGCGAGTGCAGGAAATGAAATGTAAAAAACTGAAACGCGTCTCTGCTAGCTCGTTAAGCCATGGCGTTAACGTATAGCGTCGTTAGCAACCGGCCTTTACGCCGGAACTTCCTATTATTAAAAGCTGTTTAGAGCGGCCGCGTGACTAATTAAATGTGCCGGCAGGATTTTCGTTGGTAAATAATTGCTGCTGACGGTGATCTTTCTTCTCGATCGTTTGCAAAAGCCACGTGCTGCGAGTCGACTACTGGATTTCCAAATTTCTCAAACGGTTCCGTCATTTATTCTCCAAGATAACACCTACCTACCTACCTACCTCGCGTCTCTTCATCGTAATATTGTACTCTTAATAGAGGATCTCACCTGAAACCTAAAATTTCCGATTTCTCAGAAAAATTATCCGAATTCGTAACAAATTATTTCACGAGTTTCGTCTTCTTCGGGGATTTTAAATCAATTCGAAATCAACAAAAATGTGACATAATTAGAAAGTCCAAATTCCTGGCTCGAATTTTACTCTTCTATTTTTCATCATCATTTGTTAGAAATAAAATTTCTTAGTCTCGTCTAGCCACTATTCTCGAATTCGAATGTCGCCAAAATAATTCAAAATAACTCCATAATTTCCTCGCCACGACAAAACCATCATCCATCAACCATCGAGCGTGAAACTTCGGATTCCTTAAAATTCGACGTCCAAATGACAGGATCGAGAATAGAAATCAAGTGTCCACGAGGTCTGTCGTACCAATTTCCTTAGTCGAATGTCCCCGACTAATTTGTACCGTCGACAACAAATTATCGAAATTACTCAAGAGCCGAGGTTAAATTTCCCAGCCGATGCCTTTGATCGCGCGAATTTTCGTTAACACAGTTCGAAAGAGTGGCCCGATGCAATTCCAACGGATTATCGTGGACTAAAAGGTCTAGAGAAAGAGCTCACCTGAATGGTAACGGGAATCGGTCACGATCGATTCTTGAATACAAGTCGGCTCCTTCCCGTTCCATCGATCTCCGGCCATGCAGTACCTCGTGTGCGGTCCTTCTAACCTGAAACCTCTTCGACATCGTATATGACATCTGGCTCCAACAGGATAATCCACTGCCCCGGAAGAATGACCTGGACATCTGATCTACAATAAGAAGGCCGAAAATACAATGTGTCCGCGAGAGCAGAAATTTTTAAGAATATTATTCGCGACCAACGTCAGAATTCGTGTACGTAAGAGGACTGGATATTACAGTCACTGTGACATTTAAATGGAAGTAACAATGGCTGAGGATAATATATTTTACTATATTCGAGATCCTTTGTTGCAGATAGTATCGATGATAAAAATGAAATTCTTGGAACAGTCAGAGAATTTTTACATCGATTTTATATAGTTAAAAATTACTGTAAATACGAGTAAACATAGCGCTTAGTATTTCGAGGTAAACACGTTACGTGGGAGGAATTATTCCAGCAAGGAGAAAAACATTTCTCTCGAAACAGCGAAATATCCCGTTGTTTCTACGAAGCGTTGCAATTTCTCCATGAATTTTTGAAAAACCTTTTATGAGCAGAATAACTCCAGCTGCGTCTTTTTCTCTTTTATCGTTGCTCGCGTATCGATGTTTCGAAACAAACAGAGAAAGAACGTATTAGAGTCGCTTTAATAAAGATATTGCCCGGTGCGTCGCTGTTTATTCGGATTTATCCAAATTCAGGACCTCTGTTTATCGAGCTTATAAAGGTTCGTTTCTCCAGTCGCGTCTTTTTAAACAAAATTTTCAGAGTTACTGCAACACACGTTGGCAGAGGAGATTTCACGGAGAGGTAAAGAAGGTAACATGTTAAGGGGTCACGTTTATTTGAAATAACAAATTGTTACGCACTTCGGCGTGTAGAGGCGGTTCCATGGCACGACATCTCAATTCCGCTGAAACGCAAGTTCTCTCGTCGGAAGCCAACACCAGGTCGCCACTGCACGTACAGTAGTAACTTCCGGCTGTGTTAACGCATTCACCGTTGCAACCCCCGTTACGGTTCAAGCACTCGTTTATATCTTGGCACTGGCTTCTATTTCTGCAAACAAAAACTGAAATTCGTCTGCGGAAATCTCAAACGACGTCGAACATTTCGTAGGAATCCTTGAATTTGTGTACCACGGCTTAAACAAATCCCGTTATTCGGGAAAAAGAAATTGGAAGAACAAAAATTAGGATTAAAATTAAATTTCGCAAATCGTGGTCTATCTTTTCACCAAATTTACGGGTGGATGTTAAAGACAAGAATTTAAATCGAGGTTAGATAAATTAAATTGTTTGCAGTTGTATGGGAAGTCTGAAGAAAGTCCGAATTCGAGTAATAGGATTTGCGTGGAGATTTTTGACTTATAGGGAATTGTAGAGGGAATTTAATTAGTTGTCTCACCTCTGACTCGATATATAACCAGGACGACAAACGCATATATAGGAGCCAACTGTATTAATGCAATCTTGCTCGCATCTGCCGTTGTTCCACTCGCATTCATTTATATCTAATTAAAAACAGGAAATTATTACAGTCAGGTAACATAAGTCCCTAATTTTTCGTCGGTTTTTAAAACGATGGTATTCGGTCATAAACTCCAGATAAATTAAGGTGAATGAAAAATAACAGAAAAGGAGCATAATACTTCAGCATTCTCTCAGATCCACAACCGTACGATAAAAACTAGTTTTCGCATTTTCATTCATAAAAGGAAACACCGAATCAAATTTCAAAGTCAAACAGCATTCTTTCCAAACATTTCTCACGCAATTCCTCAATTCCAAAAATCACGTTAAAGCTACCTAATGCTCCGTGATCCTAATCACAACGCTCCAGCATGATTCAACATTTCACCTAACATTGCACAAATTTCTGCAACGCGCAATGACCCTCCGGTTGTTGCGAAAGCCAGAGTATTGCCGTTTAGCCGTTAACAAGCGATTAGTCGTAGCGAATCCCTTCCATCTGACCAAAATTGCGTCAGTCAAGCGTGCACCATATCCTCCTCCGAACACCATCTCCGTCGACCATACTTGCCTATGCAATCATCTCCGCGTGGCCTAAATCCTGGTGAGCAACTGCATCGATAAGAGCCAGCCGTGTTGATGCAGTTCTCTTTGCAAGGCGCGTTCTCAACGCACTCGTCCACATCTGCACGAGCCAAAGTTATACTTAATGGGAACGTAGCGAATCCTTCGTTGGAGCAAATATTTTGCACCTACCTACACAATCGTCCCCTTCCAATCGATAGCCCGCCTCGCACTCGCAACGATAGCTGCCGTAAGTGTTGATGCACTTGTTTCCCCTGCAGGCCGCTGTGGCGCACTCGTCGAGATCTGAAAGCGATCACCGGGAGAGGTTATGTTTCCGTTCGTGTTCTACGAAGAGATTTTACGTGGTTATTTGTATATGACCATGTTGTTTAATTGTCAAAATGTTACTAGAAAAATGATCTTGACAAGAGGGAATCTTTTCTTAGGTTAGAGAATATGCAATAAGATAAATATCCTGTAAATAGGATACTAAATAGGGATAATCAGAAATTCTTCATCGGACTGCCATTTTCTAGCAGGCATAGCTATTGCGAAATTTTAGAATTAATTTAATTGTTTTTGAGAATAGGAAAGATATATAGGTGTTGATATTTTTTTTACAATTTTTGGTAGATATTTATCGAATTTAATACGTTGCTGACTGTCTTTATAGAAATGTTTAAGGTTTTCAGTTATTCTACTTGCATGTACGTCTGTAAAGTATCGAAACTGCATTTATGAATATAAATTTTTTCATTTACTTCATCACTATGCACAACAGCGGCAACAGTGCTAGCCAGTTTGTTGTAATTACGAATAAATTTACAAATTGCGAGCACGAGGAACGAGAAATGGAAACTTTAATGGAAGTCGCGGTAGCGAATTGAATCGAAACGTAAGAAAGGTAAAATGTCGAGGTGAGGTATTATGCTTCCGGTCTTTCAGCGATAATGCTACCTGTGTAAGCGAAGCGAATGTGAATACATATTGTACGCGCTTAATCTTCCTTGACCTGAATTTTTAATTTTCTACGTCATGCGATTCTTGGTTACATTCAATTTCATTCAGTTACATTCATTTTCTCGGAGGAGAAAAGGTCTCGAGAAAAATGCGCGAGGCATTAAGCCTACTGAGATATTATACTCCCGTACACACAATCTGCAGGGATATTCGCAATCGAAATAAAAATAACTGTTCCGTGCAATCCACGTGATTCAGCAAGAATTTTACGAACAATTTCACAAAAGGATTTATTCGAGCCATCTATATCGACAGAATGCAACTTCGGTAATTCTCAATACCATTATTCATAATAACAACTTATAATCACTTTAAATTTCCACTGAATAAATTATGCGAAATATCAAAGTGACCCGAATGGCAAGTAAGTAAACGAGAGAGACATCTCCATGAATAGGAACAATACTCACCGACACACGTGGAGTTGTACATCTCGAATCCATCCCTACACGTGCATTCGAACGATCCAACAGTATTCACGCACAGTTGATCGCATCCATGCTGACCAGTGCATTCGTCGATATCTCTGCACCTCGAGCGATCGCTCTCTTCGTACCGGAAGCCTTCCCTGCACGTGCACACAACCGTGCCATTCTTCGCGTTGCAAATCTGCTCGCAGCCGCCATTGTTACTGGCGCAGGGATCTACAGAATGACACGATTTATTCCTCAACTCGTGACCAGCCGGACAGTCGCATCGATAAGAACCAAGTTCATTCACGCATTCATGGGAACACCCGCCGTTATTATTTTCACACTCGTTAACATCGGAACAGGACCTCTGATCTTCCTTCAGATTGAAACCCTCGGGACACTCGCAACGGTAACCACCTTCCACGTTTATGCAATTGTCGGAGCATCCCCCATTTTCCATCTCGCACTCGTTGATGTCCAGACAAGTCTTGGAATCGGACAGCAGCTGGAAGCCACCGGCGCACTGGCAGGAGAAGCTACCGTCCAGGTTAATACAGATGTCCGAACAGCCGCCATTTTCTATCAAACACTCGTCCACGTCGCTGCATTTCTTCCCATCCTGGTCCAAGCGCAATCCGACAGGACAACTGCATTTAACACCTCCAACGATGTTGAAACACGCGTGAGAACAGCCTCCATTGCTCGCCTGACATTCGTCGATGTCCACGCAGCTTCTGGAATCATTCGCTAGGACGTGACCATCGGGACAGGCACATTTCCACGAGCCTAACGTGTTGATGCATTCGTGGAAGCAGTCAGCTACGTCGGTTTTACATTCGTCTATATCGATACAGGTCTTCTCGTCTTGCGAGAGCTCGTAGCCTGCTGGACAGGAACAAAAGTGACCACCGATAGTGTTGGTGCACTGGTCAGAGCAGCCGCCATTTTTCTCAAGGCACTCGTCGATGTCTAGACAGGTTGATTTATCAGAATGCAGATAGTGCCCTTCGTAACAGGTACAAACGTAGCTTCCCAAAAGGTTCAAGCAATCGTGGCTACAGTTGTGTTGACTGTTCAGACATTCGTTCATGTCGATACAATTTTTCTTGTCACTTGGTAGCAGAATATAACCAGTAGGACACTCGCAATAGTAACCCCCTTCGGTATTCACACAGTCATGCGAGCAACCTAGATCTATGTCATTCTCGAATTCCTCGCACTCGTTCACATCCTCGCAGGTTCTCTGGTCTTGCTTCAATCTGAAACCCAGTGGACAGGAACAGAGAGCCTTCTCGGTGCCTTCCTCGTGGTGACAATGATGGGAACAATTTCCGTTGTTCTCCTTGCACCAATCGACCAACTTGCAAGTCTTATTATCATTCTCCAGGATGTACCCTGACGGACAGGTGCAACGGAACGATCCTACAAGGTTCAGACAGGTATGGGAGCATCCTGCATTTGAGTTCTCGCATTCATCCACGTCGTCGCAGAAAGTTGATTCAACGACGTTCACTTTGAACCCTTCGTTACAGATGCATTCGAACCCTCCCTCCGTGTTTATACACTCGTGGGTACAGTTGTCTAATACTTCCAAGCATTCGTCGACGTCGATACAAGTGGCGTTGTCATTTTCCGACAGCTTGAACCCGGCTGCGCATTCGCAGCTGATGGAGCCGTTAGAGAAGGCGCAGATGTCCGAGCAGCCGCCATTATTGATAAAACATTTGTTTTCATAGACGCAGAGGAATCTATCGTCCGAAAGGATCATTCCACTCGGACAGTGACAAGACGTTTCTCCGTCCTCGTAACGACAATCGTGAGAACAGCCACCGTTCTCCAGCAGACACCTGTTTTGTTCCACGCAAACGGTTCCGTTCTCGGACAGGATCATTTCTGTCGGACAGGAGCAGGACACTTGGCCATCCTCGTGTTTGCAAAAATGCGAACATCCGCCGTTCTCGACGTAACACCTGTTCTCCTCGGTGCAAGTGGCATTGTCGTCCTCCAGGATCATTCCTCGTGGGCAGAAGCAGGACACGGTGCCATTCTCGTAGTGGCACAGATGGGAGCAGCCGCCATTATCGATCAGGCATTCGTCGATCTCCACGCACGTCTTCCCGTCATCTTCGAGCAGCTTGTAATTATCCGGACAAGCGCACTCGACGCCACCCTCGATGTTTGCGCAGAGATGAGAGCAGCCACCGTTGTCCTCGATACACTCGTTCACGTCCTCGCAGGTCCTTCGATCGGCCCCCAGTCGATAGCCGTTGGGGCAGCCACACTCGAAGCTACCATCCGTGTTGACGCAGGAATGAGAGCAGCCGTTGTTTACCTCGTTGTTCGTCTCCTCGCATTCGTTCCTATCCAGGCAGCTTCTGTTGTCCTTGGACAAAATATAGCCGGTCGGGCAGCGGCATTGAAAGCCGTCCTGGACGGCGACACACTCGTGGGAGCAACCGTGTTGACCAGCGCAAAAATCAATTTCCTCGCACGTCCATCCATCCGAGCTTAATTTCAAACCGGCCGGACACTCGCATTTGTAACCACCGTGAACGTTCACGCACGTATGACTGCAGTTGTGTACGCGTCCACACGGGTCTGCCTCCGAGCAGGTCTTATTGTCCTGTCCGAGGAGCAAATCCTCTGGGCAAGAACAGGCGTAGGTCCCGTCGAAATTCTCGCACCGATGGGAACATTCGTGGAGATCCTTGACGCACTCGTCGACGTCCAGACAGGTCTTCTGGTCCTCGGTTAATTCGTATCCTTCAGGACAGATGCACTCGAAGCTACCCACGGTGTTGACACAATTGTGAGAGCAACCTCCGTTATTTTGGACACATTCGTCGACGTCCTGACAGGTTGCTCGATCTTGCTGTAGTCGAAAACCAGCAGGACAATCGCAGTGGTAAGATCCTCTGGTATTCACGCAATCGTGGCTACAAGAGTGAAGATCCTCGGCACACTCGTCCACGTCGCCGCAAGTGCTCTCGTCGTACTCCAGCTGGAATCCTTCGGGGCAGCCGCAACGAGTCTCGTCACCGTCCTGCTCATACGTGTGCGAGCAGTTGCGATTGCTAGATGTTCGACAAGATTTCAGATCTTCGTCGAGCTTCCACCCTGGTGGGCAAGTGCAGTTGTAACCACCGATTGAATTCAGACACTCGTGGGAGCAATTGTGTTGTAAACTTTGACACTCGTCGATGTCGGTGCAACTTCGGTGGTCTTCTTCGAGCCTGAATCCTTCTGGGCATTCGCACACATACGACCCTTCGTTATTTTTACAATAGAAGGTACAATTATTGGATTTATCTCGACATTCGTCGATATCCTCGCAGGTTGTGCCATCTATGCTTATCCTGTACCCCAAAGGACAGTCGCATCTGTAGTTAGAGCCAGTTGGCAAACACAAGTGAGAGCAAGAGGAGTTTGAACAAGGATCATTGACAGCACACGTAACCCTGTCATCGGACAACGTCCATCCTGGAGGGCAAGAGCAACGGTAGGAGCCATGCTCGTTGATGCACACATGTGAACACTCGTGATCCCTTTCCAAACATTCGTCGATGTCTCGACATTGGCCTTTGTCATCCTGCCGTAATCCCACAGCACACGATGGATCTTCACACGTCAAACCATCCTGCAGGAGGATCAGACCTTCGGGGCAGACACACTTGTAGCTCCCTATTATATTTACACAGTCGTGAGAACAATCGTGTTCGTCCTCGAAACATTCGTCGAAATCCTTGCAGGTTTTCCCATCGTCCTGCAGAATGAAGCCCTCGGGGCAACTACACTTGAAAGTATCCCGATCCTTTTCACAGATGTGAGAACAATTGGACAAATTACACACGTCAACTGCGATACATAGTCTTTTATCGTCCGCTGTAATCATTCCAAGGGGACAGGTGCATTCGTACGATCCTTGACTGTTCACGCACTCGTGGGAGCATTGGTGCGTGCCTTCCAGGCACTCGTTCACGTCCTCGCACATCTTAGAGTCGTTCCCCAATAGAAAACCCGCAGGGCAACTACATTTGAACGTCCCTTCCTCGTTGACACACTCGTGGGAACATCCGTGTTCCTCGTTAAGGCACTCGTTTACATCTTCACAGCCAAAGCTATCTATGGAAAGCTTGTATCCCTTGTGACACGTGCAACTATAACTTCCGGCTGAATTTACGCAAACCTGGTCGCACTCGTGTCTGCCTTCCAGACACTCGTTCGCATCTGAACAGGTCTTCTTATCGTCGTTCAACGTAAATCCAGGTCGACACCCACAGGTGTAACTTCCATGAATATTTACACACTCGTGTTCGCAATCGTGGAGGCTTCTGACGCACTCGTCTATATCGGTGCAATTAAATTTATCGTGTTCCAACGTCTCGAGACCGTCTGGACAGATGCACGCGAAACTGCCTACCAAATTCACGCACGAGTGAGAACACAAGTCCAGCGAACATTCGTCGATGTCCACGCAGCTCGTTCCATCCTCGTGGAACTGATATCCACTGGGACAGACGCAAATGGGTCCATCTTCCGACTCCTGACACTCGTGAGAGCAAGGTGTTGCCAAGCTTTCGCAAGTTTTCGCTTGGACACAGGTAAGGTTGTCCGCTTTCAGGGTGAATCCTGTAGGACAGGTGCAGTCGAAGGACCCCACGGTGTTGTTGCAGCCATGAGAGCATGGAGAGTCTTTCTTGCACTCGTCGATGTCCTTGCAGGACACGCCATCTTCGTGGAGCTCGAAACCCAAGTGACAAACGCAGTAGTAACCACCGGGCTCGTTCATGCACTCATGCTGGCAGCCATGAGAGTCGCCTTCGTCTCCCTCCACGCACTCGTCGACGTCTGAAACACCAATGGATGGTGTCGATGGTGTTAACAAGGTCCATATCACGTGAGTTAACATAAAAATTCTTTCCCATATCTGAATTATTTTTTTTTCTACATTTGGACAATTTCAGGATTGTATATTAATAATATCATATTTTTTGAAGTTGATAATATCCTTTTCCTCGCGTTTGAATAATTTCCATTGCAAATGTTGTATTAATATTACGTTGACGACGTTTCTTGACAGTTTGTTACATTCATCACGGTGAACGTATAAAACAACTTATGAAATTTTATTTATACTGGAACCCACGTGATAGGTAAATTAAATTACTGACTTCTTACCAATTGAAAGCATATTTATTAAAATTTCTGAAACAGGGTAAGTTTAGCCTGCATTACTAATTAATCTCATGAAAACCACGTCACACAAACGCGAGGATATTTTTAAAAACTAACTCAATTTATCCTCAGAGATATACCGCACGCGTGCACCACTAAAATTTTTCCGGAATTTTTTCGCTAATTACTTCACGCAATATTCGTTTCCGGAATTTAAAACAACCTTCGCGACACGCGGCATGTATAATTCGTTGCTTAATTATGATATTTCTAAATTGCGAAGCGAGAAAAAGAGGAAGTCTTCCGTTTATTAAAACCAGAACGTGAAATTACGAGTTCGTGCTATTTGGGAATGAAATATTTACGAACCAATGCACTCGCCGTTTTTATTCTTCCTGAAGCCATCCTCGCATTTCCCGAATTCTGGAATTTCCGTGATGCCTTCTTCCTCGTCGTAATCGTCATCCTCGTCCTCCGCGTCGTAGTCCTCGTCCTGGAGGACCTTCGTCATCTTCTGAGGCTTGTTCACGCATTTAAACGAGCCGACAGTGTTCTCGCAGTCGGTATTATTCGAACAAACCTTGGATGCGTTTTCGCACTCATTCACGTCTAATAACGAGATAAATCGTAACGTTTAACTACGTGGTATCGATTATTGGTACCAATAGCACTTATATAGGTTATGCTAGACCTTCGAGACCATGTTAAACTAGGTTCAGTTATTATACATACGTCGTGTGAAATTTTAAGTTTAAACGATTCATAAAATTATGTATATTTAATTTATGATAACACAGTCTCGTAAATTCAATATCTCCATTGTAGTTAAATATCGTACAGTGTATGCGCGGTTATTTACATCGAGAAACTAGAAAATGAAATAACGTTTGGAAAATAAGGATCATAAAACCGGAAAATTGAGAGCACTATCTATTGGAGATCACACATTTATTTAAGTGTGATTATTGCTTAGCATCTATCACCTATACTCCATCAAGAATTGCTCCAATGATAATGTATTATTGTACTTAAAATCCTGATGTTATTAGTAACAGAAAGAAGAAAATAAACAGGTATTAACATGAATTTTTCTAAACACGAATTCTACTTACTTCAACAAGTAAGTCAATGAATCACGAGTACTGCGCGTTTGAAAAATTTATGTGTTTTCAGCCAATAGTTGATACACCCATTAAGATCTCAAACATCCTCGAAGCCAAGGAAAAATGGTACTTTACCCTGGCAAGTCTTCCAGTCGCTCGTCAGATAGAAGCCGTCTGGGCAGAGGCAGAAGGCACTTCCGGGGGTGTTCAAGCACACGTGAGAGCATCCGTTGTTGTTCGTGGAGCACTCGTCGATATCCTCGCAGGTGTGATTATCAGAGGCCAATTTGTGTCCAGGAATATCCGAACAGCTACACTCGTAGCTCCCTTCGAGATTCGTGCAGGTGCCTTGGCATGGGCCGTGCCCGTTATTCACCAGGCACTCGTTAACGTCTGAACAGGAACAACCAAGCAATCTCGTGAATCTCTTTCGGAATCCAACAAACGAAACTCGAGACGATTTACTTTCGTTTCGTCGTTCGAAACGGTATCAGAAATCGATCGCCGTGAAACACGGCGATCATCGACCTCGAGATTAGCGATTATTCGTTTCGGAGTTTGCAGGAGGAATAAGGGTAACTGAGAGGATTCGAATATGAAGATTCGGTGGGTAGAGAGTGACAGAGAAAAGGAAGAAAGTATTATTTGAAATGGATACTTGAAAAATTTGCAGAAGGATCTGCGAGTGATTTATGTGATAGCAATGCCGGAGGAAAGTGGTATAAAATGGTGGGAACAGGGAGAAGTATTTTCTTGCTTCATTTGGAAAACGATGAGATGGAAATAATGGTTCAAGAAGGCACTTCTTGGATTAGAAATTAATTTGTCTGAAGGAATATTTATTGGAAAATGAATATAGCTATGGAAAAATAAAGAGAGGAAGAGGATGTGCAATTAATATTACTTGTTCTCAGAAATTTGTTTCTAAATAACAAATTTCTAATGAAGAAGAAGAAATCGTGGCAACGATTATCCATAGCTATAGATTATTGATTGTTTCAGCACCTGCTAATAGTGCTTCCAATTATCCAGCACCGATTCGATTCAATTTCAATTGAACTATCTCGTAGAGTAAATACACGCCCATCTGATTTTGCACAATATGCTACATATTAGTAATTGGAAGCTTCAATAATCGAAATTCGCACTACCAACATTGCTTAGTTATCATCCATATGTATATTAAAACAAATGGAAGTATATTTCGTTAAAATCGAGTTTCTCAGCATAATTTGTTTAAATGGAAGGTTATTAAAAATAAATTCACTTCCATTTGACAGCAGGTGCTCCAGGTGAATAGCTTTTCTAATTGCTTCACGATGAAAATTATAGTAACTTGTATAAGCGAGGACTATCGAGATTACTGCCATAATTTATCCAGTTTTATTAATCATAATTATGTAGGATAGGCGAATGGATCGAGGGTATGTCTTAGGGAGTGTCGGATGCATGAATGATGTAGTTGAGTATCGAATGACTGCCAGTGTGACTGATGAATGATCAAAAGGGTACGAATATGGATCGTAAGAACGTTAATTAATAAATAATAAATAATCAATGAAAGACAAACGATTTTAGGAAAGTCAACAAGGACCTTCGAGCCTCTAGCAATGAGTAGTATGAATGAGTATAAAAGGGGTGTCGAATGATGCGAGAGTCAGTGTGTTCCAAAGTGTTAGAATCAGAATTGCAGTATTAGAATAGGATTACAAGTGTGTCGAGATTATTATACCTAGGGGCTGGTTAAGTAGTAGTCTGTATTTTCAGACATATTTTCATAGTAATATAGTCACGTTGAAAGAGTTGTCACTCCTTCGCAAATACCAATTCTATAATTATAATGATTGAAATATCCGAGATGCACTATCCGATACTGATTTCCGATAAACGTGTAATTAAAATTTATTTAATCAAGAACTTCTAAAGTTTCTCTCAAAATTCATTCGATTTTATTAATTATAATTATAGTACACCGAAACAAATAACAAGAATATTTTATTTGTAATGAATTTCCAATTACTTCGTAATTATAATTATAACCAGTATAATTGCGAGCCTTCGAAACTCCAGCCAGAATAATTGCAATGTATCGAAATAAATGGTAAGAATATTCCACCTGAACGGAACTTCGAATTACGTTATACTAAAATTGTGCTGATAGATTTAATCGATAACTTTCAAAATTTCCCCCAAAATTCACCCAATTTCATCCACTATAACCCTAACAGGTTAAAATAAACAATATAGCAGTATACAACCGAAACCTAACCTCCAATTATTCTACGATCATAACCAAAGACCTTTCAAACAACCCCTAAATTTGTCCCGTCTCATCCAGAATAATTTCGATAAATTAGGACAAATAATGAAGCAATATTCTACGAAAACATAACCTCCAATTATTCCACGACCACAGCCACGATAACCTATAAAACACCCGCAAAATTTCTCCAATTTCGTGCAGTACAATTTTAATAGAGCAGGACAAATAACAAAGCAATATTCTACGGTAACCTAACTCTCCCAACGTCTCTACGATCGAAACCGCGATAACCGGTTTAATCGAGGACCGTTAAAATTCCGCCAAAAATGCGACCAGTCCCGTTTATTTAATCGAGCAGTCGGCGAAGTTGCACTCGAAATCGCGTGTCTGTCTCGAAATTCCGTTTCGAAAGCTCTTCCGTGGGAATGGCTCGCATCAAATTTAAATTTCCTCCTGCATGCTCGAGTGCTCGATTCTTTTTGCATTTTTTTTTTCTCCTTTTTTCACCGGTCTTCGAGGGTTAATCAGTTTGAATTAGCCAGAGACATACGGTAAAACGGGACCAAACACACGAACCGCATCGCGTAATTCGATAACAGGGATACGGGGTTGCAAAGGGTTGTTTGTAATTGTTAGTTCGGATCGCGAGGCGAACCGCGGGAAAGCGAGCCCAAAAGCTTTGCCTCCTTCGCCTTAGTTAGCCGTTTTCCAACGGAAAGACAAATTCGCGGGCATCGCGACGCGGGCTGGTCTCGAGATTAAATTAATCCGTCACGAGGGTTGAACGTCCGCCATGTAAATTCTTTACGCGAACCTGCGAGCTTTCGCCTCGTTAAACGCAACGTCGAGCTAATAGGCGAATAAATTGCGCTGGATGCCTTCGACTTACGTTATTTTTTTCCCCTCCTTTTTTCCTTTTTCGGTGTCTCGTTTCTTATTTTTGGCTGGGATTAAAACTGGCGAGTTTGTGGAAATCAGTGTTAGCACTAATAATAAATATAATATGATTATTACAGACGTGACAGTTAATATTATTCTGTATAATATTAATATAATAATTCTCTGCACTCTGACAGAATTGTTTTTTAAATATTTTTAGATATATACATTATTTCTCTAATGGCTTGATTTTCTTTTATTATACTGGGATGTTAATACTCGCTGTTATTCCGTTAATTAGTTAAGAAAATTTGTGGTAAGTAACTGTTTTTTGTTATAGCAAATCAGTTGGCTGATCGAGTAATGAAAATGTAGAAGATTGACAATACATAGTCTAATAGGAATTTCACATTGGGGGAAAATGTAATTCAGGTAACGATATAACCATCAAAGTATTTAGTTGTGTAAGTGGTACAGTAAGTACAATACTATGTACAACTCAATTAGAAACCTGATTTCAGCATGGCGCATATTCTGCAAACCCTGTTGTAGCTGTTACAATTATAATCTCCTTAATCTATTCGAATTAATGAAATAGCCATATTACGCGCGAGTGTTATGGCTACCATTAAACGCACTAAAAGGTTATTTATTCGTATTAAAAATCTTAACAATCATCGAGTGACTTCTCAATGAACTTTACATTGAATCAATCTTTTCAAGGTAAACAATTATTTTCATCCGATAATAAAATTTCTTTCCTCATTCTCATACCCATGTTTCCCTAATTTCGATTGTACTACTTAGAACGTACTACTTCCTACATCTACTGAATGTAATATACGTATAATAATAATTAAATAACGCTACGTTTCCGTTTAAAAGAAACATCAGCGTTAATTAATCTTGCTGAAAAATTGCATATTTACGTTAAATATAGAAATAAGAATTCCGATGCCAGTCATTTTGAATAATTCAATTGTTCTAATGTTAACATGCAATTTCTCGTATTTACCTCTTCTGCGCGCCCGTAATCCGACAAATTTTTCCAAGAAGCTTTCCATCCCGGGATCTCAAAATCAACAAACTTAAATTCCTTTCCGCTCTGCCACAAAAATCCTCCATTAAAATATCTCGAACTACTTTCCAATGGATTTAATCGCCTTCGATTCCTGCACGGAATCGGGGAAAAATAAGCTCCCACGATTAACGATGAAACGAACGTGAAAAAGAAGACGCTTGATATCTAGACCACCATTTCGGGATATTATTCCAGGAGGAAAAAATATGACGAATCAACTGCAAGTAGCGAAACGTACAATATTCCCGTCGTTTGATCGCGACTTTTCGTTCGATTTCTCCGTTTCTCGCTGTCGATTCCGCGCGAAGAGTTCTCGGTAATAAAGGGAAAAGTAGAGAGAGAGAGAGAAAAAAAGAAAGAAATTCAACTGATTTGATCTAGTCGTAAATGCCGGCTGATTTACTTTTGCACCGTGGATGGAGAGCTTTCACGGGGATCGTGTTCTCGGGACGAAATAAAAATCACCAACGATTGCGTCTACAAACCGAAAATGCATTATCGATCAATCGTAAACTGGTTACGCGAGGTACTTTACTTTCCGAATAGAATACCTCCGTTACTACTTCGGTCGAGTATTATAGGTTGGACTGGTAGGGAGGTTAATAAAGTGCGAGTAATGAGATCAAAAATTGCAAAATCCGAAGAAAGTTATTAGAAAAATATCGCAGAATTCTACGTAGAACATATGTGCCTGTGATTACGAAAGTGGTCTAAGTCACTTATATTTGCTCCTGAAATATGAAAAGCTTCGGTCCATAAATATGCCATAAATTATAAAATTAATTACGATAAAGCTGCAAACTTAATCCAACGATTCAATTCTTCACTGTTTTGTAGAAAATAAATATATTTCGTGGTAAGATAAATGAATGCAACACGAAATAAATAATAAAATCGTTCCTCTTAAGTCGATGACTTATACCACTTTAATAATTATAGGCACGTATCACGTAGTATGTTGCAAAAATTTTTCCACGGTGATTCAAAAATGTTTAAATTCAGATTTGCACTGTTATAAATTGACTTAACTACAAATTCCTGGTAATAGACAGGTAATAATAAAAATGTTCACGTGCATGATTGTAAAATGCTATGGTATTATGGGAAGATAAAGAACTGATATTTAAATAAACAGAAATATTTAAAAACGAGATAAATTGTATAATAAGAAATATTTGCGATCATTTTCTGCACGTTAACGAAT